AGTTTCGTCTGATGGGAAATCCCTGAGGGCAGGTCAGGGCAGCAGCTGATTTACATTTTAAAAGCTTAACTTCCCAAACATCAGGGTCTGCACATCAGGTTAGAGACCTGATGGGGTCTACCTAGCACCTGGCAATAGCCAGCACCTCTTACATGCTACGTTCTAATACTGGTCTGAGTTCTCTAGCTTGTTTAATTGCCACCATGTCCCTAAACACCCCTGTAGTCACACCTGAGGGTAGGGTGCACCCCCACCCCCAGCTCCACCCACAATCTGAGGAAGAGGGTGAGACCAGCTTACCTTCTCCTGTCGCTTCTCTTCCTCGTATTCTCTATTGCCTCTCGTCACCCCTTTCCCTTCTTCCAGCAGCTCCCGGAACAGGTCCACGGGGCCAGAACTGCCTGGGGCTCCCGCTTCTGCTGCTTGCAGTGCAGGAAGTGAGTTCTGATGCCTGGCTTTCTTCCGTAGGAATTCTGTGCGGGCCTGGAGGAAAAGAAAGTTACAGGCAGAACACTGAGAACCTAGCTGTAACCCAAGGGACTCTTGAGCCTGGTGCCAACCATGGAAAATCACAGGCCGTGGTGCTAAGGGCTCGAAGGAAGGGAGCAGGGGTGCTGGGAATCCAGAAGAGGCACCTGACCCTTCCTGGGGAGAGGGTGGAGCAATGAGGCAAGGCGTGGTTTGTAAGCCACCTTCCAAACAGTAAACCATGGGGGTTCATCTTTGACACAATGAAAACAGCCATAAAGGCAGCCAAAACATCTATTAGGACAGGCAGGGCGCCAAGTCACTATGCCCATTTGATTAACAATTTCTACTGGTAACCGTGAACTTAAAAAATACTACTTTGGCTGCACCAGATCTTAGTTATAGCATGTGAGATCTATTTCCCTAACCAGGGACTGAACCTGGGCCCCCTGCATTGGAAGCCACTGGACCACTAGGGAAGTCCATAGATGTGAACTTTAAAAACCCTGACTACCTCCCAGCCAGTGCTGGCTATCGGATTAGTCAAAGGACTGGAAGCTAGGTGTAAACCAAACAGGTGAGGAGTTACAACGAGAGCTTCTAGTGTCTGCGTGCAGCGGTGCAGGCAAAAGGCGTGCCCGGCGCAGCTGGACTAATACCACTGTCGCTTCGCTGTGTCTCCTCTGAAGCCACCTCACTTCTCTGCCGAAGGGAGAGAACTGCCCGGCTGAGAAGGAACAGGGCTCGAGAAACTTTGCAAATCAAGCGCTTTGCACGGGGTAAACAACAATGAAAAGCTAAAGTGAAGTCGCTCAGTCGTGTCCGACTCCTTGAGACCCCATGGTATGTAGCCCACCAGGCTCCTTCATCCAGGGGATTCTCCAGGCAAGAATACTGGAGCGGGTCGCCATTTCCTCCTCCAGGGGATCTTCCCGACCCCAGAGGTTGAACCCGATCTCCCGCACTGCAGGCAGACTCTTTACTGTCTGAGCTACCAGGAGACAGCAGGAGCTCACTACACTGGGTGTTTGTACAGGTAAACTAACAAGTGGCCCGAATTTCCGTGAGCTGCCCAGGGCTCCGATTATTCACGAGCCCCTACTCCGGCCCTCGAAGAGGACCAAGGAGAGGTCGAGGCGGGCGACGGCACGGTCCGCAGGCACCTCCCGGGAGCCCGGCCCGAGGTCCGCCCGGGGTGCCCCGCGCCTGCGCGCCGCCCTGCGTCTGGCACTGCCCCGCTCCCGGTGCCTCCCGGGGCGCCTGCGCGCTGAGCCGCGGCGCCGCGTCCGCTCGGGCCCGGGGCTCACCTCCTGCTGAGCGAGCAGCGCCCTCCGCTCACGCTCTTTCTCCTCCTCCCGGGCTCGGGCCTCGTCACGCCGCACGCGGGCGACATTGTCCTTGTTCCGGACGTGCCAGCTCTTCTTGGGTAAAATATTCATGGCGCCTCAGCCGTCCGCGGACCAAACAGGCCCACCTCCTGGCACTTCCAATTGGCAAGGGGAAGGCCCCGCCCTGTTGCTGCTTCCTCGGCCACGGATTGGCTCTGCGCTGCCTGACACGCCCCCCGAGGGCTGTAGCGAGAATTGTCTGGCTGCAGGGCGCACGTCCTCCGTCGCCGAGAATCGCGCGTGGCGTCGCCTAGCGACCGCCGCTTCTCACGACTCTGACTCAATCATATGTCCCCGCCCTGACGCTCCTGAACGCAGCCGCTGACTGGCTGGCGCGGGTTCTCTCGCGGAAGAGTCGGCCACGCTCTCAGACCCACACATTTGATTGGTTTATGGCCCGCGGAAGGCTTGCCCCTAGCTTCTGGACCCGAGATTCAGAAAGCACTTAGCGGCCTCCGCTGTGCTTATTGATACAGTACTAGGTTTATTGATACAGTACTAGAAAGAGGTTCACTGGAGGTTCGGGGGACTCAGCAGGGAATCCCAGGGCTGGAAAAGCATGGGGTCTTCTCCAGTTCGCTCATTTTCCAAATGATGTGGACGAAGCTAAAAAAAGATCTGGGGGCAGGTCTGGGGCTGGAAGTGGGACGTCACCCCAAGCCAGGCTGGAGAGGTCAAAGAGCTCTGTTGACCGAGCTCAACGCCACAGCACGCTGCGCCAGGAAGACTTTATTCTGAGCCTCCTGAAGGGAAGGGTAAAGAGAAGGGGAGGTGAGACAAGTGTCTCCCCTGTGTTCCTTTTCATACTCTCCAGGACCCTTTCCCAGGGGCCAGGCCTGGCTCACCGTCTGTATCTGGCGTTTGAGTTCAGAGATGAGGCGTCCATATGAGTTAGCCAGGGCCACGGTATACGCCATCAGGATGCTATAGGAGATAAAATGGAAGCCACTCCGCAAACGTTCTCAGAGTATCTTCCACGTAGGGCTTTTTAGAAACCAGGGGTCTAGACCTCCTCCTTCAGACTCAAGGAGTCGAAGCATCCCAGCCCCCTCCTTCCCTCAGACCCAAGAGTTTGGGCCCCCAGCCCACTTCTCTCTCGGAAGCAGGCGGTGGGACCCCAGGTCAGACATTCAGACTCAGACCCAGGAGTCTAGCGCCCTCACCTGGAGATCAGCAGAAGGGGCACAGCAAAAGCCTGGGTACCCAGGAAGAAGAGAAAATTCTGGGCCGTCTGAGGCAGCTCGCAGATAGACTCGGGGATCGCCACCCAGATGGACGACTGACCCCGGAATGGACCACACAGCTTGGAAGGTGGGATCCTGGAGTCAGAGACAGGCAGAGTTCAAGGATGACCCAAAGTCAGAACCCTGGACAGAGGAGGGTGAAGGGTGGGAGAGAGAGGCCGGTACCTCTCACACTTACAGAAAGATACTATAAAGCACAGGAACGGCGGAGATGGCCAGACCCAGGAGAAGGACCAAAGGGAAAAAGAAATTCACAGTGGAGGCTCGAAAGGTGCGGGAGGCCGGGGAGCAGGTGGAGAAGAGGGTGATCTGGCAGGAGGGGATGAAGGGAATATGAGACACAGGAATCTGAGCCCCAGACTCTCCTCCACCATCCAGGAGCCCTAATCCCTGGCCCCCTCTCCTCAGTCAGGAGCCAGGAACCCCACTTCTTTTCCACCATCAGACACAAGAGTCCAGGTCCCCCACTTTCCTCAGACCTAACAGTTGGGATGCCCTGGACCCCTCCTCCCACATCCAGGGGTCTGTCCTCCAGACCCGTCCTCTATGAGGATCTCGTAGTCAGGGACCTTGGCATCCTCCCCCACCAGGACCCAGCAGTCACATCCTTAAGTATTCTCCTCTCCCAGAATCCAGAAATCAGAGCCCCAGTACCTCGCCTCAGACCCAAGGCTGCTCCCCACCGCTCACCTTCTTCAAGTAAAAAAGCAACAGGAACTTCACCGTGTTGAGCAAAGGCAGTAAAGGGCAGAAAAAACTCCCCACCCAGACCACTGTCTGTGCGTAGATGAGCCCCAGCACTTCGTCAGGCACCTGGAACTCCTGGGTCCTCGCAAAGCGGCCCAGCGCCCCGGGACAGAGGCCGCAGAGCAGCCTGAGGGGCAGGGTGAGACCCTCAGAATCAGAGGTGGGCGGGTTTCCCCGCCTTCACCGCCCCGCCCACCAATGGTAAGTGAGTATATCTGGAGGCGGGGCGAAACTTAAGTAGAGGTAATAATCGTGGCTGTAGGGACCAGACTACCAGACCCGTGGAGGGGGCGTGGTCTGCGGGCCTAGGGCAGGGGCGGGGCTAGAAAGGGCGGGGAAAGAGAATACGGGTGCTGGGCGGGGCCACGGCAAGGGGCGGGACTCTCACTTCCGAGGAAACTGGATGAGCAGGATGACTGCCAGGCTGGTCAGCAGGTCAAACAGCAGCAGTTTGTACATCTCCTGTCCCAGGCGGGTCTCCCAGCACTGAGGGAGGAAGAACAGGTCAGAAAGACCTCAGGACCCTGTAGACCCAAACAGCTAAGTCTCCAAATTGCAAGAGTATGAGATTCTATCAATACTTTATCTGGGAGTTCTTTCTTCTTTTTAAAAATCCATACCCCTGCCCTCATGGGGAAGGTATTCTAGCACCGCAAGCTCCTCTTTCCTCCCAAACCAAGAATTTGGAACCCACCGGGCTCTTCCTTTCCTTCAAGGACCCAGGAGTCCCCCGTCCCGCCGCCGCATCCTCACCGGAAGTTCTTTGTAATTGTAGCCACAGGTTTTGCACCTCTTATCTTCCGCTTTGCCCCCGCAAGTGATCTGACTCCAGAGAGTGATAAGCAGGACCAGCAGGGAGACCAGGCGGAGAGACACTGTCCTGGCAAGGGGAAAAGAGAAAAAGGGCATCAGCACTGACGGAGCGCCCACCACGTGCCCGGATTCTCCTGTGTGGAGCGTGCTCACAGTCCTCCCCGCTTCACAGAAGAAAACTGAGGCTCAGTGACAGGAGGAGTCGGGATCTGAATCCAGATCCCACCGGATCCTGAATCCTGACAATGTCATTCTCTTATTTGGTAGCATCAATGTCCTTCAGCCAGACCCAGCCCACACCGGGAGTCCAGAACCTGAGTAGGATAAAGACGATCTGGCGACTCCTGGTGTGGCCCTCCAGGGGGGCAATGAGCTTGAACACAGGTGGCAGCACGAAGTTGACCCCGGAGATGAAGATGGACGGAAGGTAATCCACTATGAGCTTCAGCACTGGCGTCCGCTGGACAAGAGGCTCGTCCTAGGAGGGAGGGTGGACCAAGAGAAGAGGCTCTGGGGTCCTGCAGGGGCCATGCTTACCATTATCCTCCCCTGGCCTCTTCTTCCTTCAGCACCCTGAAAGTCCACGGTCCAATCATAACCACCACCACCACCACACACACACACACAGACCCCAATCTTTCCTCTCTGAGATTCCAAGAATCACAGGCTTCAGTCTCCTCCACCCTTGGGAAGGTAGGTTCCAGGGCCTTTCCTCCCCAGGGCCCTCCACACCTGCAGCTTCACAGTGGCCCTGGTAGCCCAGTAGATGCCGTAGAAGGCTGCCCCTAGGAGCGCCAGCACCACCAGGTTGAGCAGCAGGCGCACCGACCACAGCCTGGCTTGTTGGCCCAGGGTCCGCACCGCAGCCTTGCGCCGCACTCTGGCTTCCTCCAGCTCCACCTAAGGCCGGAAGAAACGTCCACTTGTGTTCCAGTGCCCCAGGTCCAGCCTGCGGTCCACGCTCAACAGGAACTGATGCTGCATCGGCTAAGAACATCTATAGTCCCGTCCCAGCCCACCCAAGACCCTCCAGATTGACAATTTAGAACTGACTCCGCCCTTCTAAGGCCCCGCCCAACATATCAAGCTCCTCCTAGGCCCCGCCCAGCACTCCCGCCTGGTCTTGGGCATTTCGGTTCTACTCTACCCAGCCTGTTCTGGACAGGCCCTGCTCTTAACTGCGAACTGAGCTAGCTTTTCTTTATACCCTTGACCTCAGGCATCCCTGTAGTGGCCTTCAGCCCTTTTCCCTCAAGGCCCGCCTCCTAAGAAGAAAGCTCCGCCCAGCGTCTCTCTGGAGGCCCCGTCCCTGGCCCAGGCCCCGCCCATTCTCTCAACCCCGCCCGCTCGGGTGCCCTCAGCTCACCCGGCCCCGCCGCTAAGCGCACCTGCAATTCATATAGGATCAGGCGCTGGCGGAGTCGCACGTGGACCTCCCCGCTGAGTCCAAAGTCCCAGGCGGAGAACACGCGGTGGCTGTAGCGGGTCAGGGCCTCTGACTCAGCCAACAACGTCTGCTTCAGTCCAGACACGGAGCTAAGAGAGGGGAGGACCGGGAAATGGAGTGTGGGCAAGACATCCGTGAACAGGGGGACAGCCCTGCCCTCTGATGGGGCAGATAGGGAAGATGAACTCTGAGACACAGGGCATTTGGAGAGCGGCTGCCTGGTGGAGACACGTCCAGCCACTGATGCCAAAGAGTGAAGAAGAGATTAACAGACCTGGAGGACAGACACCTGAAAGGAGAGACAGAACCCTAAGAGATAAGACCAGCTCTCCTGAGAGAAGGGAACAGAGACCCCGAAGAGAGATGCAGACGGAAGGCTGAGACCCCAAAGTGGCAGAGAGTCCAAGAAAGGGGACAAAGGCTCAGTAAGAGAAAAGGAGATGGGAAATTGGGCTCAGAGACCCAGAGGAAGGAGGGGGCCGGTAAAGAGACTGGGGGGGGGGGGACAAAATCCTACGGGGACAGAGAACCTGAGAAAAGTACTAAAACAGAAAACGGGGCAAAAAGACTCCACGGCCACCTTCGCCAGCCCCACTGCCCCCGAGTGCGCCCACCTGCGCTCCTTGCTTCCACCTGTGCCCTCTCGCCCGCCCAGCCCCTGTTCGCAAGCTAGTCGAACCTTCCTTTTATGAGGATCCATGGCACTCCTACTTAAAACCTACTCCACAGCTTCTCCTCGTTTTTGAATCCTGGGCACCTTCATAGCACAGTCTCCCTGAGACAACCCCACCTACTTCTCTAAGCTCAAACCCTGTCCCTCTTCCTCCTCCCCGCCTTTCATTTCCACCTTTCTCCACCACCAGGCCTTTGCAGTCACAGCCTACGCTGTCTGAAGTGCCTGAATCTTGGGTGTTCACTTGGCTGCCTCCCTGCCACCTTTCCAGCCTAGAGGTCACCTCCTCAGAGAGTCCTTTACTGGCCATTCCACGTAAGGATGGTCCCCACGCGTTATTCTGTATCAAAGAGGGCCAGCAAACTATGGCCCTGAGACCAAGTGTTGTTTTTTGTAAATAAAGTTTTACTGGCACACAGCCATGCCCACTCATTTTCCTACTGTCCACAGTCGCTTTTGCCCAGCAGACTGTAGTTGAGATGGAGATCACGTGACCTGTAAAGATGCAACTACTTCCCACCTGGCCTTCCCTTTTTTACCAGGAAAACAAAAAATTTGCTGATCCCTGCTCTGCCACTCCAGCATTCTTGCCTGGAGAATCCCAGGGACGGGGGAGCCTCATGGGCTGCCGTCTATGGGGTCGCACAGAGTCGGACGCGACTGGAGCGACTTAGCAGCAGCAGCAGCTCTGTCATGTCCTCTCATTTGTTTTCCATATAGTACAGCTCCCAAACTGCAAATACTGATTGGCTTGTTTATTTAACAGTCAGTCTCGAAATTTATCTCCCCTACTTGACAGTAAGCTGTACCCCTCTGGTGTCCCTGGACCCCAGCACAGTGCCTGGCATTCTGAGAACACTAGATATATATATATATATATTTAAGTTGTGTTTCTTTCTTGACCCTAGTCCCTTCCTTTGGGAGTCTCGCAGGCTTGCCTGAGTGCCAGTGAGTCTCAGATTTGTAACTTCAGGGCAGACTCTTCTGCAGAACCCACGTATGCAAATGCCTACTCAATATTCCCTCCAAAACTGCACCCTGGATATTCCCCGCACAAAGCCTGCTCTTTCTACAGCCCTCCCCATCTCAAATGGCAAACACCTGGAGTCGTTCTTTATTATTTTCTTTCATTTTTGGCTGTACCCTGAGGCATACAGGACCTTAGTTCCCTGACCAGGGGTTGAACCTGTGCCCCCTGCAGTGGAAGGCAGAGTCTTAACCACTGGACCACCAGAGAAGTCCCAACACCTGGAGTCATTCTTAACTTCCATCATTCACCACACCCCGCATCCAATTATTAGGGAATCCTCTGGGCTTTAGTCTCAACGTATGTAGAGTCTCCCTTTATATAAAGAAGAAAATGGGCCAAAAGCAAGCTATAGTGTTAATACAAGACGGTGGTTGGGGGCTGGGCAGCTCGGATGATCACCTTCTAACATGCCATACAATCCACTCCTATTGCTTATTACTTCTCTCCTGCTAAAATGTCAGCTCCACCAGGGCCAACCAAACTCTGTTGGATTTTTTTTTTTTTTGGCTCTGTTTTGTCAAATGCCTAGAACAATGCTTGACACACAGTATCTACTCAGTTAATACCTATCCCTGAGTGAATGAATCACCCGTTTGTTTCCTATTCAGCCACTCTCCCCTCCAGAAAAGATGCAACTAATTTCCTTGTTTATTTATTATCTTACCCTCCCCACTAGACTAAGTCGCAGGAGGAAGACATCTCCCATCTTTATCCTTGGCCTGGAGCCAGTCATGAAGCATTTTAAAATCTTACTGCAATTCAAGCAGAGAGAAAGGGACCCTGGAGCGAGACTCAGGCCTATGGGGGAGGGCGCTCCTCCCCGCCACGGTCCAGGGGCTCTGGGTGCAGGGCTGTCACTGACCGGTGAAGGATGAGCAGCAGGTAGAGGAGGCCAATGGCAAAGGCGGCACATAGGTAGGTGATGGTCAGGTGTGGGCGGGGCGGGTAGAACCCGTAGAAGAGAGGAGACCATTCTAGAAAACCCTGCGGAAGGAAAGGCAGGACGAGGGGGCTCAGGGAGCGGGGCGACCAGGGTCGGGGGTCCCTGAGGGTCCCGGGACCCAGGCACGCACCTCTCCGGAGAGCAAGTTGAAGAGCTCGGTGGCGAAGGTGACCAGGCCGTGGGAGCCGGGATTGTAGGAGCCGCAGGGCGAGGAGGCGTTCGGGGCAGGGGGACCCGGGGGAGTCCCCTCCAACCAGGTGGGCAGCAGAACCATGCAGGCCGTCAGCACCGAGGCCAGCACGTTGAGAAGCAGCAGGAAGCGCAGCAACGAGAAGTAGGACTCGGTGCCGGCGCCAAACTGTCCTGCAGGGGGCAGCAGAGAGGCCGCGGGCTCCGCTCCCGGTCCGGTCCCGGCCCGCCTCCCTTGGACCCGGGGGTCCAGCCCCCAGACCCTCCTCCCTCAGACCCGGGGGTCCAGCCCCTCCTCCCTCAGGCCAGGGAGTCCAGTTCTGCCCCAAGTCGCCAGCCTAGCCCCATCCCCCGTACCCCCGATCCTCTTCAGCGTCCACGCCCAGGGCTGCAGGGAGCGCAGGCCTTCCCGCACCTTCTCCTTGGACCTCCGAATCAGCCGAGTCCATTGGGCCCCTGTGGACCCCGCGCCCTGGGCCACTCGGTCCCTGGCTAGTCTCTGTCTGGGGGGGCGGGAAACAGAGTCAAAGACAGAAAAGCAGGGGCCTAGCCGCCCCAGATGGAAACCATCAACAGGGAGAGGCAACCCAGTGATTGTACGAGGAAGTAGTTTACAGTGTATTCCTAACAGGGGATACTCCATAGCAACAAAAAGAAACACATCTAATGCTAAGCATAAGACAGAAAATACAGACTGCAGGGTTCCATTTACAGAAGGACCCAGAGCAAGCACAAAGTGTTCAGGGATGCACACACAGATGGCGAAGCTGTGAAGAAAAGCAAGGAAGTGATCCTCTGCAAAAGTCTGGGAAGGAGATGGGGGTGCCCCAGGTGGAAGTTATCTGGATCCTTGCTTTGGGAAAACTCTGTAAGCCTCTGCATGATATCTCATGCACTTTTCTGTCAGCAAATATCATCATAAAGTTAAAAAAATAGGTAGGTGTGATATTGTGACTTACAATAAGAAACATATTTCGTAGTGTATGATATCCCATGTGGAATCTAAAAAAATTGAACCGAGAGTTCCCTGGCGGTCCAGTGGTTAGGACTCTGTGCGCTCAATGCTGAGGGCGGAGGTTCAATACCCGGTCAGGGAACTAAAAATCCCACAAGCTGCACTGAACAGTCAAAAAATGAAATGAAATGAAGTAAAATAAAAAACCGAACTCAGAAGAGAGTAGGATGGTGGTAACCAGGGGGTAGAGTAGGTAAATGCTGAAGTTGGTCAAGGAGTACAAACTTCCAGTTAAAAGGTGAATGAATTCTGGGAATCTAATGTAGAGCTGGGTGATCATAGCTCATAATGCTGCACTGTATACTTGAGGGTTGCCAACAGAGTAAGTGTTCTCACCACAGAAAAACAAACAGTAATTATGTGATGCGTGGAGATGTCAGCTAGCAGGACTGTGGCAATCATTTTGCAACATATAAGTGTATATGTAACACTGTACACTTTAAACTTATAAGATGCTATCTGTAAACTGTATCGAAATAAAGCAGGGGGCAGGGAGGACTTCCCTGGAGGCCCAGTGGTTAAGATAAAATAAAAAGAATTATATTATTTGGGCTTTGTCCTATTGGCACAGGGCTCCTAAAGCCTAGAATTTCCTAAGTGGTGAGAGTGATAAAGGTGTCCTTTTTATGTCTCCAGGTAGATAGTGTCATAGTTGAGTTGCATTGTTGGACACCCAGCCAGAGTCAGAGCATTGCCTGGCGTGAGGGAACCTCCCCACACCTTGGGACTGTGTCCAGATTATATAAGGAGCAAGGGTCAGTGTCAAGGGTCACCTGAGGAGCAGCCAGGGCCCTGTTCTCGGAAGGGCCTCTGGCTGACTTTCACTGCTGTGCCATATGCGTAGTAACTGTGGAACGAGAGACCTGGCTTTCACTGGGTCCTGCAAATTATGCAGCAGGACAGGGAAAAGAAAGACGTTAACAGAGTGGTAGGAGGCAGAGACCGACATAAAGCTCAGAGAGAGAGAAAGAAAAAGTGAACCACAGATTTCAGACAGAGGCAGTCAGGCTTGGAGAGAAAAGAGACACAAGACACTGGAACCTGGGAGAGAGCACCAGGATCCTGCAGACAGGACTCCTTGGAGCCTGAGAAGCTCCAACACAGCCGGGGGTCAAGGAGACCCAGAGGGGCGGCCAGGAGAGACGCAGGGACCGACGGAGGGCTGGAGCAGGGGGTGGAGCAGCCAGCCGGCAGGCAGGGGGCCGAGGCCTGGCGGGGACGGGAAGGTGGCCTCACCTGTGTGCCCGCCTGGCCTGCATGGGCCACGGTAGTTCCCGGGAGGGGCCAGGCTCCATCAGCTCCTGATGTGCGGCGTCTGCGGAGGTCTGCATTCTCCTCCATGCCTCCTCATCCTCACCCTCCTCAGCCCCCCAGGGCAGCACCCCAGGGCCTCGGTACCGAAGGGTGGCAGTGCTGGGCAGCTCATTCAGCACAGAGGACAGCGATGGGCCTGGGCAAGGACAGGGTGCTGGGAGGGTCCGGGGTCCAGGCCCCACGCCTCTCCCCTCAGACCCGGGGGTCCAGGCCCCAGGCCTCCCCCCTCAGACCCGGGGGTCCAGCCCCACGCCTCCCCCCTCAGACCCGGGGGTCCAGGCCCCAGGCCTCCCCCCTCAGACCCGGGGGTCCAGCCCCACGCCTCCCCCCTCAGACCCGGGGGTCCAGGCCCCAGGCCTCCCCCCTCAGACCCGGGGGTCCAGCCCCACGCCTCCCCCCTCAGACCCGGGGGTCCAGGCCCCAGGCCTACCCCCTCAGACCCGGGGGTCCAGCCCCACGCCTTCCCCCTCAGACCCTGGGGTCCAGGCCCCAGGCCTCCCCCCTCAGACCCGGGGGTCCAGNGGTCCAGCCCCACACCCCTCCTCCCTCAGACCCGGGGGTCCAGGCCCCAGGCCTCCCCCCTCAGACCTGGGGGTCCAGGCCCCATGCCTCCCCCCTCAGACCTAGGGGTCCAGCCCCACGCCCCTCCTCCCTCAGATCAGGAGGTCCAGGCCCCACGCCTCCCCCCTCAGACCTGGGGGTCCAGCCCCATGATTCCCCCCTCAGACCCGGGGTCCAGGCCCCAGGCCTCCCCCCCTCAGACTCAGGGGTCCAGGCAGGCCCCACGCCTCCCCCCTCAGACCCGGGGTCCAGGCCCCACGCCTCCCCCCTCAGACCTAGGGGTCCAGCCCCACGCCCCTCCTCCCTCAGAGCAGGAGGTCCAGGCCCCAGGCCTCCCCCTCTCAGATCCGGGGGTCCAGGCCCCAGGCCGCCCCCTCAGACCCGGGGGTCCAGCCCCACGCCCCTCCTCCCTCAGAGCAGGAGGTCCAGGCCCCACGCCTCCCCCCTCAGACCCGGGGGTCCAGGCCCTCATCCGCTCCTCCCTCAGACCCTGGAGTTTGGACCCCAGCCCTCCTCCCCAGACCCTGGAGTTTGGACCCCAGCCCCTGACACCGCCCCTCCCCGCCCCCGCCCTCCAAGCACCCAAGCGAGGCCGTTCCCGCCTCAGGCTGAGGGGTGGGCTCCGGACTTCCTTCCCGGGACTCGTCGCGCCCCTCCCGCCCCTCAGACGCGCGCGGCCCCTCCCGCCTCTAGCGCTCTCCGCCTCCCAGGCTCTGGGCCTCCGCGCTCCTCCCGGGAGCTCGAGGTCCCGGCCCCTGGGTCCCCTCTGCCCCGGGCGGGGCCCCGGCTCTTCGCCTCCCCCAGGCCGTCTCCCCGCCAGACGGACCGGACCCGACCTTCTCCAGGCCCCCCACCTGTTCTGGCCGCCCGGGGCGCCGGCCGCCCCTCCGAGGAGCCCCAGGCCTCCGGGTCCCACTGCGGGCGCTCCTCCATGGCCCGGCCGCCGATCCGTTTCCGTCTCCAGGGCCCCCCGAGCGGGGACCGCCCCGGGCGAGGGCGGGGCCTGAGGCGGGCGCGCACCTGGCCGCCAGGTGGCCCGGAGGCAGTGCCCGCTCCTTCCCGGAAACTTCAGGGCCGCTGCTGGCAGGCCTCCTGGGAGCCGGGGCCCACAGAGGCCCGGGCGGTGACACCTCGCGGCGGGATGCTGGAGGTACGCGGTCCCCCCACCCTGGCTGACCGTCCACAGACATCCCACAGGGTCTCCGTGTGACACTTTATTGGGAAAGATTTACACATTCTGAGCCTGTCCCAGGCCCGGGGATGACAGGAGGCTACAGGAGCGCGGGGACCCTTGGCCGGCTCAGAGGGAGCCCACGAAGGCCAGGACGTCCGCACCGCGGCTTCTCCCTTCCAAGAGGGTCACACTCCGTGCGGGTCCACCGAGAGGACGTGGAGCGAAAGCGGCCAGAAAGCGCCCACCTCCCCCCACCCGACCCCCGGACCCGCCCCGAGGCTCCGACCCCCACGCCGTGCAGCCATCTGCCCAAGAAGCCCTGTGGCCCGTTGGCCCCGGTGCGGCGGGAGACACAGCTCTCTGAACAGCAGGCCCTGGGCAGGGACAACGGAGAGTCTCTCTGGGCATTTATCTTGATTTTTACGGGAGGGAAAACTGATCACCGGGGCGGGGGTGGTGGCAGCCAGGGAAGCAGGCGCGCCCCCGCCTTGGCCTGCCAGGCAGGCCGCTGAGCCGGGGAATCCTCTCCAGGCCCCTGGCCAAATTCCAATCTCTTCCTGGGAAGGGCGGCGGCAGCCTGGTTCACGGGATTCCCAGACCAAAGCGCAGGGGCAGGACGAGCGGCAGAGGCGTGTGGCGAGGGCTCACTCTTCCCGGAGCTTTCCCGAGGCCGGGCTGGGGGTTGGGGCGGCCGACTTCCGCCGCCCGGGTCCGCCGCGGCCCAGGGCCAAGCCCAGCGCCAGGGCCGCCAGGGCCAGGACGTGCACGCAGAAGTAGACCGAGGCCCAGTAGCGGAGGGTGTCGCGCAGCGACAGCAGCACGAAGCCCATGCACATGTAGTCGTAGGCCCGCATCTTCAGGAACCAGTGCACGCAGTCCCAGGCCTTCTGGCCCCGGGGACCCAGCCGCCACCGAAGCGCGGACTCCAGCTGGCCCTCGGCTGCCAGGCACAGCGGGATGGTGAGGAAGCTCAGGTAGTAACCAGGATGCAGGCCGTGCCAGTAGGCGCTCAGCAGCATGGTCCACGCACTCCTGCGGGGGGCAGGGTGGGAGGGAATCAGCGCCTGGGGTGCAGACCCCGGCCTCCCCCCTCAGACCCAGGGGTCCAGGCCCCCGCCCCTCNCCTCCCTCAGACCCAAGACTTCCAGATCCTCAGCCCTTTCTCCCTGAAACCCAAGGGTGCAGACCCCCAGCCTCTCCCCCCTCAGATCAGGGGTCCAGGCCCCAGCCTCCTCCCTCAGAACCCGGAGTCTCTACTGTCTTCTCAGCAACCCCCTCCCAACACTCTTCCCTCAGGCCCTAGGAATCAAGCCTCCGCCACTTCCTAAGGATTTGAGGATCTAGGAGTATAATTCCTGATCCACAAAGACTCAGACATCTCCAGCCACGGTCCCTTCTCCTTACTGATTCCAAAAATGCTAGCCCTTGAAGACCCACAGATTCAGGCTCCAACCCTCACTTCCACGAGGTGCCCACAAATCACAGCAGGGTCGGCCAAAGGTCTGAGTTCCTGCCCACGGGCACCAAGGTTGGCCTCTGCCATGTCCGGGTGCTTAAAGTACAAATATGACCCTGATGCTGGGGAAGAATGAAGGCAGGAGAAGGGGGTGGCAGAGGACGGGATGGTTGGATGGCATCACCGACTCGATGGGCATGGGTTTGAGCAAGCTCCAAGAGATAGTGAAGGACAGAGAAGCCTGGCGTGCCGCAGCCCATGGAATGGCAAAGAATCAGACATGACTCAGTGACTGAATAACAGCAAAAAACTCAGTGAAGGGAACTGTGTGGGGGTAGGTGAGGGAGGGCGCAATGTCCATAAAAAGGCTAAATTCTCCCTGTTGTTGACAGGGGAGATGTTTCCCTCCTTCTCTTTCCTTAGGCCGTTTCCTTGAAGAAAAAAAAAATCTACTGTTTGAGCATCTTTCCTTTGTCCTTTGGATGCAGATATCAATCTCTGAAAAGGTGAAAGAGGCCTCTAGAAATTGTTACTGCCCAGGAATGTTTTCCTTGAGGGCCTGGGAGCCATCTCCCTGCAGCTGTGGGGCTTTATCCCACTGGGGACAGAGATAGGAGGTTTGTTGATAAAGACCCTTAACTAGCACAGGTGGCAAACAAGTTGCCAGGTGAACTTCAGATGAACCTGGAAGCAGGCACAGTGCTGTGTGTCTCTTGAGAGCATGCTATGTAAAGGACTGTAAGTGGCAGTGGCTAGTAAAAAAAAGAGAGGTTTCTAGACAACTGATAAGGACCATGGGCTTCCCTGGTGGCTCAGGTGCTAAAGAATCTGCCTGCAGTGTGGGAGACCTGGGTTTGACCCCTGGGTCGGGAAGATGCCCTGGAGAAGGGAATGGCTACCCACTCCAGTATTCTTGCCTATTGAATTCCATGGCCAGGCCATGGGGTTGCAAACAGTCAGACGCGACTGAGTGAAGAACACTTTCCCTTTCAATAAGGACCTACTGTATATCACAGGGAACTCTGCTCAATACTTTGTGATGACCTGTATGGGAAAAGAAGCAAAAAAAGAATGGATGCGTGTATATGTATATAACTGGTTCACGCTGCCGGACCCCTGAAACGAACACAACTTTACTCCAACTTAAAAAACAGAAATCCAACTCCGTGCGTGCACAGCCAGCTCTCGGCCCCGCCCTCAGCTGCTCCTCTCTCCCCGTTTCCGGCCCCGCCCTCCCCCATGCAGTGAGCACTCCTGAGAATCTTCTAGCTTCCCAACTCCATCCTCTCTTGAACCCACTCCAATCTTGCTTTCACTTCACCTTGCAAGGGTGCGGGGGAAAGCTCCTGGCCTGGGCAGACACACCCTCCCACCTGCCCCTCCTTCTTGACATCCTCGCTCATCTGAAGGGAACGAAGAGCTCCTGGCCTGGGCAGACACACCCTCCCACCTGCCCCTCCTTCTTGACATCCTCGCTCATCTGAAGGGAACGAAGGAACCATCGTCCTCCTATCTCCCTGGCTGCGTCTGCACTGGCCCCTCCTCTGGCCCCCAGTCTATACCAGGGCCCCTAATTGTTGGCACTACAGACATCTGGGGCTGGGTCATTCTTCAGGATGGGTGGGGATGGGCGTTTAGGCCTCTGCCTACTAGACTCCATTATGATAAAGTGTCTCCAGACTTGCCAAATGCCCCCTGGGGGCACAGCACAATTGCCCACCCCCGACCCCCCCATTGAGAGTGTCCCGGGGCTTCCCTGGTGATTCCGATGGTAAAGAATTCACCTGCAATGCAGGAGACATGGGTTCAATTCCTGGGTCGGGAAGATGCCCTGGAGAAGGGAATGGCAACCCACTTCAGTATCCTTGCCTGGAGAATCCCATGGACAGAGGAGCCTGGCGGGCTACAGTCCATGGGGTCGCAGAGTCAGACACCAGTGAGCAGCTCAGACACTGAAAATCCCTGGTCTAAATGTGGGTCCACTCTGTGCTTTGACCCCAGAGCTTTAAGCACCATCCACAGCTGACGATGCTCACGGGTCCACTTCTTACAGCAACCTCTCCCTAACACACCAGAATCACATAACTCGGTGTCTATCCAATCACCCCGGCTGGAAATCCAACCATCACCTCAAACTCAATGAGACTAAACCCAAGTCTAGCTTCCTTGGCCTGCTTCTGAAACTTCCTCCTGCGCAGACTTCCTCTCCTTCATCACCCACGCCCACCACCTGGGCACCCCGCTGCATTTCCTCTCACTCCCCCCATCCAGGTGGGGGCCGAGCCCTGACTTCACCTCTCCAGTTCATCCACTTCTGGCCACTGGTCCCTACTCTAGGCCACCATCAGTGCCCACCAGGCCAGTCCCTGCCTCATCTCCTGCTCCCCTCCCCACCTTTATTCCATTCTCCATGCAAGGTCAGAGATCTCTGAATCCAAACTAGACAGCACCACATCCAGGTAGCTCTAGCTCCAGCAGTGCCATGATTAACTGCTTCATCATGAGGATGTGTCATGGTGTATCCTGACCTCTCCTGGAGGCGAGGGGAAGACGGAGGGATACTTGGCAGGTGGCCTGACCTCTCTGAGCCTAGATCTCTTCATCTTTAAGATTTCCTACTTCCTAAATTTGTCAAGATCTAAATTTGTCAGTTTATCTTAGCTTTACAGAAAGTCTCCACTCAGGAATTACCAGGTGAGTGAAGGATAATAAAAGCTGCTCAGGCCTCACAGTAAGTGCATTTAACACTTTCTCTCACTTACTTCTCGTGTCAACTTATGACACAGGTTAACAGCATTACTCCCATTTAAGAGTTGGGTGCACTGGGTCGTGGGGAGGGACACTGGAAGTTTCAGGCTAACATACACACACTATATAAAATACATAACCAACCAGGACTTAATGTATTGGTTACTGTATAGGGAATTCTACTCAATACTCTGTAATAACTTATAAGGGAAAATAATCTGAAGAAGAATAAATAGGGAACTCCCTGGCAGTCCAGTGGTTAGGACTCTGCCCTTTCACTACTGGGGTGGGTTCAGATCCTGGTTGGGGAGCTAAGATCCTGCAGGTTGCAAAGCACAGCGGGAAACAGCAAAAAAAAAAAGAAAAATTAAAAAGAAAAATATATATAACTAAATCACTTTGCTGTACATCTGAAATGAATACAACATTGTAAATAAACTATACCTTCAATTAAAAAAGAAAAACTAGAAAACGAAAAGCATGTAGGGGGATTTTTTGAGAGAAAAAAAAAAAGAGTTGAGGGAACAGAGGTCAACCAACCGCCTAACGTCTTTTAGGCACTGGCAGGGTCACGATTCCGGAAGGTCGCGCCGTCGGTTCCACAGGACTGCACACTGCGCCTGTGCCACGCGGCCGGCTTGACAGAAGCAGAAACGGAGGCCCAGGGAAAGAGGGACGCGCTTACCCCGGTAACGCAGTCCGAGCCGCAGCCAGAGGCGCAAGAAACTACAGCTCCCATGACCCCCAGGGGCGGAGGCCCGCCTGGGGGAGCCGCAGGGCGCCCCCGGGGCAGCTGGGAGATGTAGTCGTGCCGTCCCCCGCGACAGGGGCTCACCTGAGGACGTAGGAGCGGGCGGGCGCGCTCTTATAGACGTACTGCGCCAGCCACCACTGCACCGTCATGTTCCAGTAGCGCATGCCCTCCCGCACTCTCACGCAGAAGTCCGTGCCGTAGCAGTCGATGTTGCGGATGGTCTCATAGTCGTACTCCATGGAAGCCGCCGTCTCCGGACTGGGGGAGGGGTGGAGGACGAGGGTGGGGGACAGACATGCAGCTCAGCGAGGCCCCCTCCCGACGCTGGCTCTGTCCCAGCCCCGGACGCTAAGGAGGGGAGTCTGGCCAGGCAACAGCTCCCAGGCTGTCGCATTTGCTAGGGCAACAGGGGAGGGGAGCCCAGAGGGTGCATTTTTGGGAGGTGGGGTGGGACGTGCACAGATCCACAGCAGGAGGATTCTCCTTCTCTTGGGAAGGGGGCCTGCAACAGCCAAAGTCTGCAAGGGTTACGGTTGCTAAGCTATGAGTTCTTAGCAACCTGACCTGCCAATGGTCTCAGATGCTAGGGTAAGGCCGTTCCTTAGCAACCAAGTTCAGCATATCCAGAGAAGCCTCCAAGTAGTCCTTTCTAAATTCCTCGGACCCTTCCATGGTTGGGGAAACAGCAGCCCTAACAGCGAGGTGGTCCATGGTTGCTAGGGAGATGTTCTAGGCCCGCCTGTCACCTCAATGGTCTCTGTTGCTAGGGAAAGGGCATTTCTTAGTGACAAGCCTAGGATGTTTAAAAAAAGTGTCCTGAAAAGGCCTTTGCTGGCTATCAGTCTGTAGGACTGTTCTAGAAGGATCAGCTCCAGCAATACAGCAGTTCCGGGGTCACCAGTGCCAACGCTCAGAGCAGTGGGGGATTATCATTGACCTGCCTGAACCACTGGCTACTTCTGATAACGGAAGCGGGGCTTCCATTAAGAGCAGGGCCCAGAAGGTTTAGAAAAGCTTTCAGCTCCTGCTTCACGTCTTCTGGGGGATACCCGCTAGCAACTGGAGGCCTGCCTTTGGTTACTCTGGCAGAAGGAAGAAATGTTGCGTGGGGGCGCCACTTTCCCCACAAGGGAATGGCTGTTGTGACTACAAGGGGATGGCCCAACCCTAGTAAGGAGTCATTCAGAGTTTACATCAAGGGGCTGCTTTTCCAGCCCCAGCCTGAATGCCAGAGGACATCTGCAGGGAACCTAGGGAGGGCCCACTCCTGACTGCCAGGGTGCCACTTCCCTAGCAACACAGGAGCAACATATCCTTAGCAACAAGGGAGTCCCTGGTTACTAGCAGTGTGCTCTGCCTCTTGATGAAGGCACTAGGCTAGTAGCTTCGCCAGCAACAAGCTTAACCCATAGTTACTGGGGGCTTCTGGCGGTTACTAAGAATGGTGTCCGCTGCTACCCCGCCCCACCCCCCACCAGAGGACAGCATGGTAGCATGGTGGAAAATGCCATTTCTGGGACTTCTCAGGTGGGTAAGGATCCGCCTGCCAATGCAGGGGGCTGACACGGGTTCCATCGCTGGTCTGGGAAGACCCCACATGTCCTGGAGCAGCTGAGGTGGTGGGCAACAGCTCCTGAGCCTGTGCTCCGCAAGGAGAGAAGCCACCGGAAGGAGAAGCTTGCCCCCGAGACGAAGAGTAGCCCCCGCTCACCCCAACCAGAGAAAGCCTGTGGCCAGCAGCCAGAAATAAATAAAGCGAATGCCATTTAAATGTTATGTGATGACATCTCACAGGGAGGAAATGCTTGCTCCCAGCAAAGAAGGGGGCAGTTTAGGGGACGCCGTTCCCATAGCAACAAAGGCAAGAAGGGGCAGTTCTGTTGCTAGGGAATGGTTTCCCTAGCAACTTTCCCTAGCAACAAGGGGCTGCTCCTCACTGCCCAGCAATGGCATGCTGAGCAACCAGGAACAACCGGGTAACCGGGCTGACACTTCCATGCCATCAGAGGGGCAGCAGGGTGGTTGCTAGAATACACCTTCCTTTTCCTAGCAACAGAGAGCAATTCACTACCCCAGGGGCTGACACGACAGGGGGCGATCTCCAGGTTTCAGTTTTCCGAGGACAGGGGAGGCGGGCTGTGCTGGCCAAGGGTGACACTCTGTTGACAACCGGTGGGAGACCAGCCCCCCCTCCCGCCGCTGCTCCCCACTCTCCTCCCTGCTAGGGGCAGGGCCAGCCCGCGGTGATGGGGCCGGCCGGGTCTTGGGACACCTCCCTCCCGCCGCCTGACCTGCTGGGGGGTGGGCATTGGAGGGTGGGGCCGCCCCCGGCCCGGGCTTTGGCGGCCACGGGGTAGGCCCCGAAGCCGGCGGCAATGCAGCCGCACTCGGCGGCAATCCAGGCCACGTAGAAGCGCATGCGGAAGGCGAAGAACACGGGGATCATGTAGAAGAGGCGGGCGGGCAGCGGGCGGGCGTAGAAGGCGTCCTCGCGCACGGCCTCCAGCGGGAAGAGGTGTGATGAGAGCAGGAAGAGCAGGCCGAAGAGCGGGGCCGGCCAGGCGCGGCGCAGCAGGGGCCGCAGGCTGGGCACGGCCCCTGGGAAGGGCTGCTCCAGCCAGTCCAGGTAGGTGCGGTAGCGGAAGAACGGGCCTGTGGCGGGAGGGCGGGCCGCGGTCAGGCGCATGTGCGCGTGGGGATGGCGGGCAGAGCACCGGTCTCGGGGGAGAGGAGACGGGCCAGGGACCAGGGAGCCCGGGGGAACCAGGGAGAGAGGAGAACGGAGAGCAAGCGAGAGCGGACGAAGGGGGAGGCAGGGGACTCGGCGGGAAAGAGGGACAGACACTTAGGGAGCGTCTCGGACAGAGCAGCCCAAGAACCAGGGGTCCTGGCACACGTGGAGGGAGGGGGGCAGGAGGGCCTGGGGGTCACGGAGGAACAGGAGGCGCACGAGCGCGTCCCTTGAGGAAGACAGGGGCCTGAGAAGAAATCAGAGGGTGGCAGGGGCAAGACCCCGGGGGGATCTGACCAGGACTTTGGGCTTGGCTTTTTATATATATATGTATATTTTTGGATAACTTGTGGTTTATCCACTCAATGGAATACTATCCAGCCATGAAAACAAACCAGGTACAAGTCCATGCAGCAAAAGTCCTGCACACCATTGAGCAAATAAGCCAGTACAAAAGAATACACACTGTATTTGATTCTATTCACATGATGTCCCCAAGCAGACAGCGCTAACCTATGCTCTTAGTAGTCCGGACAGTGGTTGCCCTTGGGCGGCAGCAACTAGAAGGGAGCAGGAGGGACCAGTGGTGTGCTGGGAAGATTACTTGATGGGGTGCTGACTGTAAGCATGCTTTCCGTTTGTGTAAAACCACCAACTTGTTTGTATTTGCTGAGCATGCATGTGTACGCACTCAGTCACATCTAACTCGGCGAACCCGTGGACTGTAGCCCGCCAGGCTCCTATGTCCGTGGGATTTCCGAGGAAAGAGTACTGGCGTGGGTAGCCATTTCCTTCTCCAAGGACTCTGGGGTTTTTTTTCTCAGCGCTGGGGTAACCACTGAAGGCCTCTCCCACCAGGGAAGGGCTAGATTATGATTTGGCTTTTTCAGGAGACCCCTCAGCCACTGAGCAGGGAGGGGCTGCAGAGGGAAGTGACGGAAACGAGGGGCCTGCTACACTCGAGATAAAATGATGGCCTGGCCTGGGGAGGGAGCAGAGGGCTCTAACAGAAGTGCTGAAAGTCTAACGGAGGACCACACGCTGTATGATTCCACTGATAGATGTTCAGGGTAGGCAAACACATAGAGAAGCTCAATTAGTGCTTTCAGGGAATGGAGGCAGTTGGAGGTTGGGCAGACTATGGTCAAGGGTGCAGGGGTTCTTTCTGAGGTGACAGAATTGCACAGTAGTCATGTTGCAAAACTCTGTGAAAGTGAAAGTGAAGTCGCTCAGTCGTGTCCGACTCTTTGCGACCCGTGGACTGTAGCCCCCCAGGCTCCTCCGTCCATGGGATTCTCCAGGCAAGAACACTGGAGTGGGTTGCCATTTCCTTCTCCATAGAGAGACTCAAACCCAGCAAACTGGATGTAGTTATGGTAATCACAGCTCAATACAGTTGTTACAGAAGTCAAAACCTTCTACGAGGTCAACAGTAATGAAAAATAGGTCCTGAAACTAAAAATGGGATCATACACTGTGAATCCTTGTGGCCTGGGCGGGAGACACATTAGGGTGACATCCATCTTTCTCCTTAATCTCCTGTGTGCTCCCAATAAGTTACAAGCAATCACTGAGGCTGAGAACAATCTGTGTCTACTCTGGAGGGGCCCTGGGGCCAGTGGGAGAGGGAGGCATGGACTGGGGCTCAGAGGCTCACGCTCAGAGCAGCAGAGGCTGGAACGGGGGGCCGGGCGCGGGGGGCAGGAACACAGACCAGACAGCAGAGTCCGGGCAGAGGCAGGCCCGGGGCGGGCGCGCTCACCTGTCATGATCCCCACGTAGCAGTAGCTGTAGCTGAGGGTCTCCATCAGAGAGGGCACGTCCGGCAGCAGCCCCAAGGGGGGCCCCTTGCTGAAGCCCGAGGCCATTTCCTTCCTCTGGGCCACGTGCAGGTCCTGAACTTCACTGGCCAGACTCACCAGCTGGGAGGAAGGGGCGTGCGGGAGGACAGCTCAGACCTCGGCCTCCTCACACCCACCTCCCGTTCATGACCGCTCTGGGCGGCCCCGTGGGGCTGGATGCCAAGGCGCTGCTCCTTGGGCAGCTCTGAGCATCTAATGACGAGTAAGGGCTCCCTCCTGGGCCCCCGATGTTTTTTTCTCTAAGTTCCATCTTTCCATGCTCCCCCGCAGTTCATGGCTCTAGGTACCACCCATGCTATACCCCGGTGGGACTTCTCCAAGCTCCAAGCCTGTCCACCAAGCTGCCTCTAGGGAATTCCCCGGGGGTCCAGGGGTTAGGACTTGTTGCTTTCACCACCAGGGCCCGGGTTTGATGATGCTTGGTTGGGAAACTAAGATCCCACAAGCCATATGGCATGGCCAAAATAAATTAAAAAAAAAAAAAAAGAAAAAGCAGCTGCCTCTTGTCATTAATACATGGATGGATGACTTCCAAGCACCTCAAATTTAACACATCCCAAGTGTAAAACGGTTTTAGCCATTCCCTGAAGCGGGTGTTCATCTGGTCTCTCCCCTCATCAAATGCCAGTCCTTGGAATTCTCCAGGCCAGAATACTGGAGTGGGTAGCCTTTCCCGTCCCCAGGGGTTCTTCCCAACCCAGGGATCGAACCCAGGTATCCCGCATTGTAGGCGGAGTGTTTACCAGCTGAGCCACCAGGGAAGCCCCATCAAATGCCAATCAGCATCCAATAAGCTGCTTAGACTGGAAACCTTCCTCGCTCCCCAGGTCGAGTCCCTGAAGTCTCTGAGTCTGTCCCTTTCACTTTGCCTCCACCACTGGGCTGAGTATGCTGAGCCTGGCCCCCCAGCCAGCTCTCTACCCTTCTGCACACAGACCCCAGGCTGGCCCGACATGTGTCTTCCAGCTTCAGCCGGGGTTCAGCTGGCAAATGGCGGAGGCAGTCAGGATTGAACCTTGGGTTTGTATTACGGTGTTTTTAATCCCTTTATTGATAAGACCGCCTGGGGCCTCGCCGTGACCCTTGACCTACCTTCTCAAATCTACCCAAGTCCTTTTCCTTCTGGGTTCCCTCCTCTCTGGCCCCTTGGGACCAGGACCCTTCCTCATCCTGCCCTGGCCAAGGTAAACATCAACAAAAACGCGCCCCAGGTTCTCCTACATGCCAGGCCTCCTGGTGGGGCCCTGATTAGCTGCCCCAGGCCTGCCTCAAGCCGCCAGTTTGTCAGTTGCACTTAGATAAAGGAGTCCCACGTCACCTCACCTCACCCTTCCTGCTGCAGTTTTTTTCAGCGTCTGGAGGAGGTGTTTCTAAACCTGTAAACTTGGTCACAGGTTTTCAGAAAAACCTCCTGTGGTAGCTCTTGGGCCCCCACAGGAAGAAGTTGGAAGTCCTCACTGGGGCCAGCCAGGCCCTGCCCGGCTTGGCCCGAGCTGCGGCCTCCCCTTGATGGACAGTCCATGTGGCTGGCACACGGCTGGCGGCACGCGGCCGGCTCCCTTCCAAGCATGCTGCTCCCTGCGTCCCGAGAGGCTCTGGTTTCCTCCCACTCCTGCCCCGCTCCTGCCCACCCTTCAGCTCCCGCCCGGGAACACGGCATGCCGGAAGAGCCCTGCCCACCACTGCCGCCTGACCCTTTCGATCACTGAGAGGAAGCCCCCGGGAGGAGCGCGTGACCTCTTCTCCCGTGGTGGGGCCTGCAGACCTGTTTTCTCCCATCTTCCCAGGTCATGGGAAGCCAGACGTGGTGTTCTGCTTTTGTGCCCTCAGCTCAGTGCTCACTGCCCAAAGCTGTTTTCTCTTTCTTCTCCTTTGCAACGTGGCTTGCTACAAAGATGCACTTTAGCCCAGCCACCCACTGACACCCACAGTTATATAGCTTTGGGTACTTTTTTTACCCTGGGGAAGAGCTGAGAGGTGAAGTCCTGCCCTCAGCAGAGTGCGTGGGAGAGACCGACCGCCTCCTCTGCCTCCCCAGGGAGAAGGTAAAGCTGGGCTGGCTCACGGGCACCCAGGGAGGGCTGGGGGTGCGGGGGGAGCCTGACCTTTAGTGTCAGCAGCAGTTGGACGGCGTTGGTGAAGGGCGTGGGAGTGGGCAGGCCCAGCAGGCTGAGCGCGCGGAAGAAAAGCAGGTAGGAAAAGGTCCAGGCGAGGGCCAGGGCGTGGCAGGAGCTGAGACAAGACAGGAGGTCTGTTGCGCTGGGTGCCGGAGGTCTTGCCTCGGTCCCCCCTGGATTCCAGCTGCAGATCCCACCCCCCACCGCCCACCTTCAGAGACAGGAGAGGGGGGTGTATGGAATGAACATGACTGAAAGAGCTGCAGAGAAACGCACAGCAACAGAACAAGGAGGGGATGGAGAGAGAGGCTGCGGGTGAAGACCCTTCACGCCTCCATTTGTTTCTGGGAGGGAGGGAGAGAGGGGAGGGAGAAAGAGAGAGAATACCAGGGCCAGCAGACCAGTAATGCCCTCCTCTCTCCTGAATCCATGACATGGACATCAAGGGCCAGGCCAAACACACAGGGACAAGACCCAGAAAAAGTCAGGAGAGGAGAAACAGACCAGACACATGACACAGAGAATCTCGAGGCACACAAGAGACATCCAGAGACAGAGGCGGAAACAGAGAAAGACCCCAAGAGGAAACAGGTTGCATCCTTCACCCTCTCTGTGCTCCCCCTCCTCCTCCCACCAAATCCTCACCAGGGCTGGGCCTGAATGAGCGCCCAGGTCCCAAGGATGGTGACCAGAGAATGCAAAGTGTGGGGGCCACAGGTGAACAAGGTGAGCCCCAGGCCCACGGCCGCTGCCCCCCATCTCTTCAGCCCAGGTCCTGCAGGGAGAAGGCACAGCGTCAGTGTAGAACTTTCCACGGGGTCCCCCATTGTGCCCGCCCCCCCTTATTTTCCGCTGAGGAGGGAACCTGACTCACCAGCTTTCTTAAAGAGGAAGCCGATTGGGATGGAGATAAGAAGAACCACTAGATATGTCCATTCTTCGGGCGACATGTTCTAGGGGAGGGGCAGACGTTCACAGTGAGAACCCAAGAGTCCAGCCGCCAGCCCCTCGTCCTTAGAGGATTTAGGAATCTGCTCCCGTCCGAATCCCCAGTTGTCAAAGATCAAAGAGTCCTACCCTCAGCTCCTCTCCTCTGAGAACACAGGAATCCCAACCTCCAGGCCCTTCCTCCTTTGAGGATAGAGGAAGTCACCCCCAGACCTCTCTTTTGAGAATCCAGGCCCCCCAGATCTCTTCTCCTTTGAGAACTCAGGAATCCAAACCTGGCGGCCCCCTCCTCCGTAGACGATCAAGCAACACCAGCCCCTCTCTTCTTATCCCTGAGCACCCCCTCCTCCGAAAACACTGCTCTCCAAAGCCCCTGCCGTTCTTCGAGGGGGCCTCAGAGGAGTCCAGGTCTCCAGCCTCCACCTTTCTCCGAGCTCGGGTTCCTTTTCCTGTCTGAAGCCGGAGAACCGGCCCGCTCCCCAGTACCAGCCCGAGTCCCAGGGTGCGCACCAAGCGCGGCTCATATCCGCTCTGGGCAAAGCCACAGGCGGTTACGCCACCCGGGGGCTCGCCCATGCCACCCCGGAGCTCGGCCGCCCTCCCGGCGCCGCCCCCGCACCCCATAAGTCCGCCGATCCGCAGCGACCCCACAATGTCCAGACCCCTCCCGGTCTCCTGGGCGCCTCCACACCCCGGCCCACCTGGACCCGCGGTTCTGCGCCGCCCGCAGGGCAAGAGGCGGCCGAGGAGTCCTGGCCCCCGGGCTATCGTGGGTCCGGCCACGCCTACCCCGCCCAGCACGCCCCCGCAACCCCCAGCCTCTTTCGGGGGGCCTGCAGAACTGCGCGGTCCGGGGCCGTGCACGCAGCGCCTAGCGGTGTCCGGGCTGGGCGAGGAAGGAGCGCGGACGCGGCGCCGAGAGCACTACCCGGAGGCGGGACCCGGCCAGGCTCGGATCTACCCGGCTGCGAACACGCAAAGGGCGGGGCTTCGGCTCGGGAAGGGGTGGGGCCAGAAGCTTCGGGCTCCGAGGGCGCCAAGGGACCCCGGAAAGAGGCGGGGCCTGGAGCTGAGCTGTCAGAGGGAGGCGGGGCCTCCGCTCCAGGTTTCTTCAGCCAGAATCAGGGGGCGATTTGGAGACAGGGCCACAAGCTTCCAATTTTTTCGGAGGTGGTCGAGTAGGTTCGGTTGTGGGCGGAGCCAAGAGCTTCGGCCGGACGTGGGCGGGGCCACAGTCTCGGCTCCCTTCGGAGGTAGTCGGGTAGACGCGACCTTGGGTTGCTCATAGGCGGAGTCTCAGGATTAGGACGGAGGCAGAGCCACGGGCTTTGGCCATACGAAAGAGGCGGGGCCCAGAAGCCCCCCCCCCAGGGGGTGGGGTAAACAGAGTCCGACCTCAAGGGGCGGGGCCAGCGTGGCGAGCGGCCCGTTTCCTAGTCCCGGAACCGAGGAGGGAGGTGCGCTTCGAGGGGCGGGCTCGAGGGATTTACACTATAGGGGGAAGGCAGGGCTTCGGCCCTGCGGGGCGGGCCCCAGACTTCCCGCTCCGCTGAGGTGGCGGCGTGACGACATCGACGCAGGGGGTCGGCATGGGGGGTGGAGGAAACCCCGCGTGGCGCGCTACGTAGGGGGTGGCTCCGCCGGGACTGCGAGCTGGTGTTTACGAGGTGAATAGCTGGTTCCGTCAGAGGACGGTGCCACATTCTGAAGGGAGCGCTCACGAGCGGGCTGAGCCCGCCCGAGAGGAGAACGCTCTGGGCTTCCGGCTGTGGGTTCGGTCGTGTGGCGGGAACTCCAACCGAGGAGAGAGCCCGCGGCCGAAGGGGGCGGGGCCTCAGGCTGTGGGCTTGACTTGAGCCGAAGCCGTCCGAACGCCTGACGCCTTGTCTTCCGGAGGGGGTGGGGCCTCAGGTTGTGGGCTTGACGTGAGCCGAGGCCGTCCTAACGCCTGACGCCCAGTCTTCGGGAGGGGGCGGGGTCGCGATCGGCTGACCCGAGGATGTCCGAACGCCTAACCCCGCGTCTTCGGGAGGGGGCGGGGCCGCGATGGGCTGAGCCGAGGACTTCTGAACTTACGAAGCGGCCGCGCTCGGGCGGGGGCGGGGCTTCGCATTCTGCGAGCCGGACTCAGAGTGGGGACCTGAGGCTGGACCTCGAGGGCTCAGAAAGAAGGGTCCCCGAGGAACCCCCAAGGGGGCGTGGCCTCGGGGGGCTTTGGCCTCCGGAGGTCCCGACACCTGACGGGAACACCGGAGGGCGACGCCGAAAAGGACCTTTCGGAGGGGGCGTGGTCCGCCCTATGGCAGGCTTTGCCGCCAGGCGCGGGGGCCCGCGCGGCCAATCTCGCCCCTGGCCAGAATGCTGACCGCAGGGCCCGAGGCGCCCCGGCAGGGCCCCGGCGCTCCTTTCGGGGCGGGGCCTCGTCTGGGTCAGCCCCGGGGCCTGGCGGGATCGCCCGGGGGCGGAGCCCGTCGCCCAGGGGGCGGGACTGGTGCGCCCGCTCAGCAGGTGGCGAACGCGGCTCGGAGCGAGGCTCCGCCCCACGAGCCTCAGGGGCGGGGCCTCGCCGAGACCCCCCAGCTAGGCGGTGGGCACCCTCCCAGCGGCGCGAATCCCGCGGCGAGAGGCGTGCTGCTCGGTGGGTGACTGTTGTGCCCCTGGCTTCCCGCAGGAGGATGCTGGTGGTGGAGGTGGCGAACGGCCGCTCCCTGGTGTGGGGGGCCGAGGCGGTGCAGGCGCTGCGGGAGCGCCTGGGCGTGGGGGGCCGCACGGTGGGCGCCCTGCCTCGCGGGCCCCGCCAGAACTCGCGCCTGGGCCTCCCACTGCTGTTGATGCCTGAGGAGGCGCGACTGCTGGCCGAGATCGGCGCAGTGACCCTAGTCAGCGCCCCGCGCCCGGACCCCCGCCAACACAGCCTGGTAAGTGGGGGCAGGCTAGGGACTCCCCTCCCGGGGACCTGCAGGAGGAGAGGCTGGGACGACAGATTCCTGGTTGGGAGGGCTCTGAGAGTCCTGGATTCTGGAATTCTGTGAGAGTAGGATAGTAGGATCCCCGGGTTCACTCCCCGAGGTTTGGAGGAGCCAGAGTTAGAATTTCTAAGGCAGTGCATGTCTGAATCCTGATATTACAGCAAAGTTTACTTCTCAGGCACTGGCATCCTTCAAGCGCCAGCAAGAGCAGGGTTTCCAGGAGCAAAGCGCCCTGGCAGCTGAGGCCCGAGAGACCCGTCGTCAGGAGCTCCTAGAGAAGATTACAGAGGGCCAGGCTGCGAAGAAGCTAAAGCTGGAACAGGAATCAGGGACCAGTGGGAGCCAGGAGGCCGGTGGGAAGCAAGCTGCCGAAGAGAATGAGGCCAGTGCTGGCCAGGCTGCTGGAGAGCATGAGGAAGCATGTGAAGGTGGGGGTTGGAGTCCATGGACCAGGGGAAAGAGGGAAGAGATCCTTGGGGGATTTTTGGCTGGGACTCTAGGGCTGATCCTCCCTGGGGCCTGAGAAAAAAGCCTTGCCCCTTGGATTCATCAAACGCTTGGATTCTTCCCCACCAGGCTCCTCTCCCCAGCCAGGGCCTTCAAATGGAGTGGCCCCCTTACCGAGGTCTGCTCTGCTTATCCAGTTGGCGACTGCTCGGCCGCGGCCCATCAAGGCTAGGCCCCTGGACTGGCGTGTCCAGTCCAAAGACTGGCCCCATGCTGGCCGCCCTGCCCACGAGCTTCGCTACAGCATCTACAGAGACCTGTGGGAACGAGGCTTCTTCCTCAGTGCCGCTGGCAAGTTCGGGGGCGACTTCCTGGTCTATCCTGGTGAGTTTGTGTTGGGACCTCTGGTGACATTTTTCTTCACAATCCCACCACGGTCTGCGTTTCCCCCCTTTTTTGGTCTCCTTTTCTCAGCCTCTGAAACCATGGGAAAACAGAAAACACTTGGGAATCCAAGCTTTTTTGGAGAGCAGTTTAGTAAATGAACAAAGAGGGGGGAAAAAACTCTCACAGAAGACATATAGAATAAAACGTAAATCATATTTTGTAGTGTTATGTACATTACTATATCTAATAATACATACACATTGCAGATTCTTTACCACTGAGCCACTTGGGAAGCCCTTCCATATCTTGGCTATTGTAAATAATGCTGCAGTGTACATAGGGGTGTGTTTATCTTCTTGAATTAGTGTTTTCACGTTTTTTCAGATAAATACCCAGGAGTAGAATTGCTGGAAGACTTGCTCTTTTAGAATTATGTTACCTGTTAGTTTTCTGTATAGTGCCTTACTCAGGGTCCTACTCTACTTGATCAGGTTCGTCTAACCTGGGAGCAAAGTATAGCCACCCTCCCCTCAGCCTGTCAAATGAGGCACACTGACAGGTTTGTTTTTTTTTTTTAATAAAGTTTTATTGGAACACAGCTCTGTTTGTTTACATATGGTCAGTGAATGCTATGGTGCTAGATTGGCAGAGTTGAGTATTTGCAGCATGGCCCACAAAACTGAAAATATTTACTATCTGGCCCTTTTCAGAAAAATTTGGTTGACTCCTTAATTCTATTTTATTATGCCCTCCTGTTGTAAATCGTTCTCTTCTTTTAGTCTGAGTCACTTCTCATTGGATATTTATGATACGATATACATGATACCCTTTGAGTTCCTCATGGCTTTGACTGACAGTGATATATTCAGTTACTTGTTTTTAAATAAGATATACATAATGTGTCAACTTGCTCCACCCCCCAGGCCCAAGGGTGTCTTTTGCAATATTGGTAGTGATGGCTGGATGCATTGAGATCCCCTCCGTGTTGGAGGTCCCAGTGTCTTCCAGTTCTCCACCAGTGGAAACTGCTACCTGCCTCTCTCCTTCTCCCAGGCGACCCGCTCCGTTTCCACGCTCACTACATCGCCCAGTGCTGGGCTCCCGGGGACCCCATCCCACTGCAGGACCTGGTTTCGGCTGGCCGCTTGGGCACCAGTGTCAGAAAGACGCTGCTGCTGTGCTCCCCGCAGCCCGATGGTAAGGTGGTCTACACGTCCCTGCAGTGGGCCAGCCTGCAGTGAGCTCCAGAGACCTGTGGGCGCTCGGCTGTGTCCATGGCAAGACCCTTTCTAGACGGTTCCAAGCTCATCTCTGCGTGGGAGGTCCCGCCCAACCTCCTGCCTCTTGGCGGTTAGTGTTCGATTCCAGATGTATAAACACTACATCCTCCTTATACCCCTCCCCAATCCAAAGCACTCAGTGGCTGTGTTGTTTTTATAGTTACCAGTTTCCAACCATGAGCTTCCTGAGTGTGAAAGCTGATTCATCTCTCTTTTCTACAGGGCTTAGGTCCCAAGAGGTCTCAATAAATTTGTTGAATCAGTGTGGAGTTTGTGGTTTGAATCCTTCAGACAATCCTGGGAGGTGTGGGCATTTGCTGCAGTGTTTAGGCAGCTGAGGAAAAGCCTGGGGGAGGGGAGATGACTTGCCCCAGGTCCCACCTCTAGTAAGGAGCAGGTGTGTTAAGTCACTGAGTTGTGTCCAACTCTTTGTGACCCCATGGGCTTCCCTGGCGGATCAAATGGTAAAGAGTACGCCTCCAATGTGGTAGACCTGGGTTCGATCCCTGGGTTGGGAAGATCCCCTGGAGGAGGGCATGGCAACCCACTCCAGTGTTCATGCCTGGGGAATCTCCATGGACAGAAGAGCCTGATGGGCTATAGTCCATGGGGTCACAGAGAGTCGGACACGACTGAGCAACTAAACACAGGTTCCTCTGTCCATGGGATTCTTCCTCTGCACAACACTTAACTTTGGAAAAGCTTTAAGACATTTCAGATGCATACAAAGGCATAAATAAAAAATAACTCATGAAAAAAAGGAGGCGACTGCTGCAGTCTTAAGGAGTAGGGGGGGGGGATATCCGAGGTGGTCTTGCTCTTGGATTGGCTGGCGTTTATTCAGCTGTTGGGAGAATTACTTTTTATACCATACATTTATATTCTAGATTCTCCTTTGTATGCTGTATTCCACAATTTTTTACAAAAGCTAAAACACATACGTATGAAATATGCATTCATAAAACAATTTGCAGAGCTGCCTTTCTGCTTAACAAATTACTAGAATATTACCAGTGCCAACTTCCAATATTTAAGAAACTGATTAAAAAAATTTTTTTTAATCTATTTATTTGGCTGCACCAGGTCTTAGTTGTGGCATGTGGGATCTAGTTCCCAACCAGGGATAGAACTCGAGCCCCCGACAGGTAATAAATGCTGGAGAGGGTGTGGAGAAAAGGGAACCCTCTTACACTTTTGGTGGCAATGTAAACTGGTGTAACCACTTGGGAGAACAGTATGGAGGTTCCTTAAAAAACTAAAAATAGAACTACCAAATGACCCAGCAATCACACTACTGGGCATGTATACTGAGAAAACCATACTTTGCAAAGATGCATGCAGCACTATTTACAATAACCAAGACATGGAAGCAACCTAAGTGTCCATCAGATGAATGGATAAAGATTTGGTACATATATGCAATGGAATATTACTCAGCCATAAAAAGGAATGAAATATTGCCATTTGTTTGCAGCAAAATGAGTGGACCTAGAGATTATCACAGGTGATGATAACTAAATGAAGCCAGGCAATGACAAGTATTATATGGTAATCACTTTTATGTGGAGTCTTAAAAAAAAAGATAAAAATGAACTTATTTACAAAACAATCAGACTCACAGACATAGAAAACAAACATGGTCACCAAAGGGAACAGTGAGGGGAGGAAAGATAAATTATAAGTTTGGGATTAATATATACACACTACAATATGTAAAGTAGGTAAAAGACAAGAATTAACTAGATAGCACAGGGAACTATAGGGCTTCCCAGGTGGCNTTTTAATAAAATCAGAATATGCACAGCACATGCAGTGCTAGCATCTAAACTAATACAATAAGCAATTACTAAAGCTACAGTGACTTGAGTTTCAATCTTTACATTCAGCAAGTTTAAATTCACTCTTACATGATTTTTGAAACCTTATTTATTAACTGAAAATATTGCTTGCTGATAAAACTTGCTCAAATGCTATCGCTGAATGTACAAGTCACTGATTATGCCAATACAACAAAGATAACCACATGTTTCAGGATTGCAATGAGCCAGACATTCACTGGAAAAAAAATACACACAATGAAACAAAACACACAATATTTGAATATGGACACTTCATATCAGTGTTTTGAAGTGTTTCATTATTATCTCAAGACGAGTGTATCAAAACCTTGGCATGATTTAATTTAAAGTCGCCAATTTTGTTTTTACTAACATCAGAAAGTTATGGCTACACTGCCAATGCCGGGTCTGCTTAATTTGACTTAAGAGTTTAATATGACTTAACATTAAAAGCTCACACTACCCCGAAATATATAATTTCACGCATACGGTGACATTCAACATTCAAGTGCCAGTGTTTTTGTACTGTCTTTTGGTCAAGTTTCTTTAAACTTTCAAAGAATCACTTTTAGGCTTACAAAAATAAATATTTGTCAAAATGTTCAATAAATATTACATAAAACTAGCAGCAAAAAGTATCTAGAAATCTGTCGTGTGCAAATAGTTTTATTCCCAACTATCATTCCCATGGTCCCAAATAAATTTTAGAATCTAGTCCCATCCCCTTCCTAGACAAGCTGCGTTCAACAATCTCCAAGAGACAAAATAAGATTGGAAGTTTAAGGACACGCACACAAGACATATATATAAAATTCTCTGAATGTGCAATAAAAGAAGTACTTTGTAAAAAGTTATGGGCAAAATGTACAAGGGCCTAAACCTAGACTAATTGAAATAGCACCATAACAAATGACCTCAATACTGTCAAGTGCACCTACTTAATAAAAGTTTTAGAACAAGGCACAATACACTTGAAAATCTATTGCACTTTAGGAAATTTTTGCCATCTTCCTATACCACTGTAAAAAGATTGAGCATTTTGATCACCGCATTCTGGCCACAAAATTAGCACAGAATTCAAAAGTGGCAGAGGCATTTTAGTGGTGGACAATGCTCATCTTTGGCCAGATTTAGCATAAACAGACTATAAATACAATGGAAACCTATGCAACTAAAACTGACTAAAACTGCACTGTATAGCAGAATTGACACCTTGTGCAGTTATGTACATATTTCCAACCTGTGTGATCTCAAAGATTTCAGTTTGTTACTCTTCTGGAGTGCAGGCGGATTCTTTACAGACTGAGTCATCAGGGAAGCTCAGTCATTATCAGTAATTTATTTTCTTCACAGCAGCAATCTGAAATGATCTTCTTATTATTGTTCCCCCTCTTGCCTTAGGCTCAAAGTTTCACTAATAGAGGGGCTGTTGAAGGGTTCAAAAGGGCAGATTGGCTTCTGGCTGTGCCTCGGATAGACATTCTGATATGAAAAGTGATTTTTTTTTAATTATTCATGGATATAACAGAGCATGTTGGAAGGAGCTTTGAATTCGCATAGGTCCAATCCTCGAGATCTTTTCAGAGAGACGGAGCATGCTGAAGCCTAGCGGCGGTGGCAGTCACTACTCCAACTTTACACTGCGACTCAGACGTTAGCTGAGTGGTGACGTTAAGTCACTACCCGGGGGCGGAGAGGAGCCCTCACGTCGCACCAGACGTAGCACTAATCCCTCAGCAGTTCTCCCAGTTTAGCACGCCCAACCTCTCTGGACAGCTTTGGCCGCCCGCCAAGGCCTTTCCTGATTGGTGCAGACTTTCGCTGTGCGTGTGACGTCACAAGAGGGCGACGTTGCTATAAGAACGCGGTCGGCGAACGCGTGCGCCTCTTTCTTGGTTTTCAGAGCGTTCGTTCAGGTGAGCTCTGCCGCCGTGTTCTGTATTTTGGGTGTGGGTCGTAAAATCCTGCGGGCTATTCGACCTTTAATGAGTACGCTAAAGCAGTTGGAGGTGAAATGAGCGTAACTGGAAAGTGGTAGAAATGATAGTCGGTTATAAAACTCTTCAGGGACGGTTCTCGCGATATTTTCCCTAGGTGCTGCGAAGTTCATAGCGTAGTTCTGGGACTGCGCAGGCGTCGTGGAGTCCTCACAGGCCTCTCTCCCTCCCGCGCAGGCGCAGACAGGCAAACAGAACCAGCATGCCGGTCGCCCGGAGCTGGGTTTGTCGCAAAACCTATGTGACCCCGCGGAGACCCTTCGAGAAGTCCCGCCTCGACCAAGAGCTGAAGCTGATCGGTGAGTGGCTAAAGCTAGGTTTCTGTTTCCCGGGCTGGGGAAGCTGACACATGGGTGAGGCCCCTCACGTGCTCGTTCTGTTTAAAAATCTCCAGTGTATTCACCCTCTTGTTTTTCTGTATCCCGAAATCACTAATCCTTTTTCACTAGTCCATGGGACTGAGTTTTTTCACTCATTCTGCAGGCGAGTATGGGCTCCGGAACAAACGTGAGGTCTGGAGGGTCAAATTCACCCTGGCCAAGATCCGAAAGGCTGCCCGGGAGCTGCTGACGCTGGATGAGAAAGACCCGCGGCGTCTGTTCGAAGGTGTGTATGTGAGCCCCCAGGAGAGCTGCTGCTGTTCTTCCTTCTAGGGTTGTGCAAGACATGGAGCACGACATTGTATCCAGTCTTTAGTAGGAGTTATGGAGTGGGAAAATAGGTCTGAATCCGAGACCTACCTTTTTTCTGATCTATGACTGGTTTATTCAAACACTGAGAATCGATTTCCAGTGGATTAGAACTAACAATGCCAAGCATCGGGCACCTGGATATATCTATACATCGTTCAACAGAACAGTATTGCTCCTTATGCTATTGTTCCCTGCTGGGGAGACTAGACAGTGAAATTTGAGAAGTTCCACCCAGGGTGGAACTTGAGTGTGTATATGTGCCTTCTTTAACACGATGGTGAAGGACATTTACTCAGGGTCTGAACAGTAGAGGACCTGTGGGTTTCACAGGAAAGAACGGTTCCAGGTGATCTTAGAGGGAATACAGATGATACCATATGGTTTAAAATTTAAAAAATTATGATGCAGTATACTTGACAAACTGCTATCTTTTAGACTCTTAAGGTCTAAATGTCTGCTGTAAGATGTGAGGTTGATGGGCTTTTGGAAGGGACGATATCACTCATTTTAGTAGGACCTCTCAGGTTGTAAGATGGTGAAAATACTAAGAAAGCTGGTACTTTATAAGGCTCAGTGAATATCTTTTTCTAAGCTCTTGGTGTACATTATTTGATTTGCACAAGTAGATTGGCAGGGGTACTGATCACAGTCTTCAAATGAGCAAATGATCGGAGACTTCCCGCAATAGATGGGGAGTGCATGTGAGCTCAGGGTTGGGAGTTGAAGGAGGCTTCTTA